AGTTGAGAATGTTTAGGGATGCAAGGGCGTTGGAGTGTGTTTATGTGTCACTGGTGGAATCAATATTAAATTATGCTGTCCCTATCTGAGGTGGTGCGTATGAAAACACCTTCACCCCTTGAAAATAATTCAGAAATAGTATATTATCAAAGTTATATTTGATAAGCCAAAATCTTACTCAACGGAATTTATTTTTTGGAATACCCCACTTACGGATTTTGATACTATTTACATTATGGCGTCAGTAAATTTTGTTTAAAAATCAAGGCTTAGGGAACGTATTAGCCTCTGTCACAATACCAGAGCGGTAACCATCATGAACTGTCAAACTAAGAAACCTAGGTCACACGCCGTATTCATGGTTCTCTCTACAACCTGCTTCCTTCTAGTGTGAAAGATCAAAAAACCTTTGAGCATTTTAAAAAAGCATTCAAAAGTCATATTCAAGTAAATATCGAAAAATTTAAATCTGTAATAGCATAAATGTATATTGTGTATTTAGGTGGAAAAGTGAAACATTCTCGGCCGACGGTGTAAGTTGGCAAACACCGAAGGCCAAGAATGTGCTTTTCCACCGACATCCACATACTATTATTGTCTGGTGATTTGAATATAATTTTTTTTGACAGGGACAATAGATATAATCAGTTGCTGTGTAACTTGTTGGATTCTTTTAACTTATGTATGCATTTCGATCAGCCAACCAGACGTACAGCGTTGTCATCATCCGTCCTGGATTATATATGCTCCAACATTGATGCAGACTTGGTATGGAGTGTAATACTAAATACTACTAATGCTGGGCTGTCTGACCATGAGGCTGTACACTGTTGTATCCCATTTGGAGTACACACTGAGCATAAAATAAGATGGGGTAGACAGCAAGGAACTTTGAAAGGTTCAAACTGTTGTGTACATGGACTGACTGGAATGGTGTTCTTGCCGCAGAAGACTCATTGGAAACGCTCCACGCTATTGTTCATAACAATTTTAATACATCCTTTCCAATTGTTAATTTAAAAAAAAGAAAACGTTAACCTTGGTATACCCAAGGATTGCGTATCTCTGGGAAAAATATGCGTTCTCTTCACTGCATAAGAAAATATTCCAAGAACAATCAAGATTTCACTCAGTACTTTTATAGGTATCGCAAAATTTACCGAAACTCCATAAGACAGGCTAAAGACATGTATTACCGTGATAGAATCAAGAATTCCTCCAACACATCCAAAGAATCGTGGAGGATTGTTAGTGACTTATCGGGGAAGAATAATAATAAAAAGGTAGTTATGAGCAAGTTAAAGGCTAATGATCTTAACCACTTTTACTGTAGCATTGCATCCAATCTAGCCGCTAGTATTCATCAGCCGCTTGATCCCAGGGCATATCTAGAGCACATTGTAGTAGCTGAAACATTCCTTTTATCCCCAACATCAATACAAGAGATTAAGGAAATTATTTGCGAGATTAAAAATAAGAATACATCAGGTTGGGATAATCTTTCTTTGAGGGTTGTGTCTTGTTTGCCTGATGGAGCCTTGCGAGCTTTCACGAGAGCTATAGACAGTTCGTTTCTGTCCGGCGAATTCCCTGTGTGTCTCAAACAAGCTGTGGTTATTCCCTTGCATAAGGGTGGAGACCACGACACGCCGTCAAACTTCCGACCAATAACGCTGCTACCTATCATGGCTAAAATAGTGGAAAAGCTTGTGAAGAGAAGGATGTTAGCCTTTCTCAGTGGACTTGGACTCTTGAGCGCCCAACAGTTCGGTTTTCGAGAGGGGATTGGCACTGGCGATGCCATTTTCAGTTTCCTTGAGCTACTCTATAAGCAGTTGAACGGTGGAGAGGTAGCCTCGGCAGTCTTTTGTGACCTCTCCAAGGCGTTTGACTGTGTGAATCACGAGATACTACTATGGAAGCTTGAGCAGTATGGTTTTCGGGGTGCTGCTTTGAGGTGTGGTGTGGTTTCGCTCCTACTTGTCGGGTAGATCGCAGACGATAAGATTTCAGGATGGTGAGTCAGAACGCATGAACATCAATGTTGGAATCCCACAGGGATCTGTGCTGGGACCAATGACCTATTAACACAGATAGACAGAACATTCCATTGATAAAATAGCTTTGTTTTGGTTGACTACATGTTTATGGGCCAGGGGGGGTGAGGTGTGAAAGCGGCTAGGAGTAGGGATTCAAATGATTCCGCTAACTCCGCCCCCATTTTACTATCGCATACTTGGCAACTCTGAAAATGAAACCAGAATCAGTGCTACAAAAGTGTATCTATATCCTTATAATTTACATAATTTTAGAAAAAGATGCGGATACACTCAATGCGCACTGATTGACAAATGGAAATTGTCATAAAATACCTGCTCGTCGCATTTTGACATGACAATTGAATAGAAGCCGCTGATTGGTGGAAAGGTGGAATTCGAGGTGGGATTTATTTTTTTGCAGCGTTGCTAATTTTCATTGAAAAATAATCGCTTTCCACGTGTTAGAGAAAGATACAAAATAAAACAAGGATTAATAAAGTAGTGGGGAGAGATGCGGCTCCTGGCATGTAGTCAACCGATATTATTGTTTATTGTTCCGTCTATCTGTGTTAATAGGTCATTGGCTGGGACCCATTCTTTTTCTGGTTTACGTCAACGATTCGCCCCAACTCCCAATTTCGGAAAAGTTTACTCTTTTTGCGGACGATACGACAATCTTGTGGCACAGCTCAGATGTGGAGAAATTGAATAATGACATTAATGCAGATTTGAGGATGGTGAAGGACTGGTGCGATTCCAATTTATTATCGTTCAATGTTTCGAAAACCAATGTTTTAAACTTCAAATGCGAACTGGAGAGTGTTTACCTGGAGGATAATTCTGTAACTCCACAAAACCACAACAAATTCCTGGGCCTCACAATTGATAAGTCTCTCAAGTTTGACGATCACATTTCTAATCTTCGTAAAAGGGTTTCTTCGGGATGTTATGCCTTAAGAGTGATATCGAGGAGTTTGGATGTCTCGGTTACTAAGAGTGCATACTATGCTTTGGTAGAGTCTCACCTACGATATAGCCAAAGCTTTTGGGGTTGCTGCACCCGTTCACTTTTTGATTCAGTGTTTCTGCTTCAGAAGAGGGCAGTCCGTTGTACATTCAGAGTAGAAGACTCGGTGATTCCTGTCGCCCTCTTTCCATCAGTCATGCTATCCTTACGCTTTATTCGATGGTTATAATGGAAATAGTGTGCATGATGTTCAGGAAGTACGGGGCTGAGAGGGAGGCGGACAAACACTATAATACTCGTCAGTCGTTTCTTCTCGGCTTGCCCATACCTCATTCCCAACTGGTAAAAAAATCATTTATATATGAAGGTAAAAAACTATTCAATCACCTTCCAATAGAAATAAGAAAGCTTGGATGCTACAAGAGTTTTAGGAAGCAAGTTAAGGCTTTTTTGGTTGATAAAGCATACCATAACCTCGAAGAATATTTTAATGAAAGGATAGTAGCTGGTTGAGGAATGTTGGACCTTATTTGTTTTTGACAGCAAGTGACGTATATGTTTGGTACCTATCGTTTCTTTTGTAATGAGTCAACTTTTATATGTAAGAAAAGCGAATGTCATTTTTTTTTTTCTATACTGTTGCGTTGCGTATTGTACGAGATTTTATACTTTTGTCTGTGTTTCATGTGTTGGTAAAGACTTGTTTTTTCTGTTTTTTTTTCTTTTATTCTCTGTTCTAACTGAGTAATGTTTTAATTTTTAATTTTAGTGTTAGTTTTAGACTTTATTTTAGTACAGCTTAGTCAGCAATTCGTTCGGAAAAGAAGGGGCCTTAACACCATACCATGGACCAGAGCCCTATTGTGGCTTAGTGAACTCAACAAATGGGAGAAACAGTAACTGTCATCATATTGGAGACACATTCCGGGACTAAGACAGTCAAAAAGGTTTCACCCTTCCAGCAAAAAGAGCTGAACAGTTCCTAAACATAAGCAGACCAGACATCAGAATGGTCGTAGGACTGCTCACAGGACACTGCCTGGTGAAATACCACTTAAGGTTAATGGGCAGACCAGAAGACCATCTCTGCAGATTCTGCTTAGACGCAATAAAGACCAAGGAGCACCTGCTCTGCGAATGTCTAGCCCAATTCTGCAAGAGGCTCAAATTCCTCCAGGGGGCAACACTATCACTAGAAGAAGTGGGCCAACTAACACGTAGAAAAATAGCTTCCTTCGGCAGAAGTCTACGTTTCCTGGAGACAATTTGAGATGTAGAGTCACATATAAAATATCTGCAAAGGTAACAGGGCTGAGCGGCTAGAAAGTCGAAACGACATCCTGCACAATCTACAATCTAAGGATGTTATCTAGCATTCCAGCAATTAAATGTGATTGGAACAATATGTGCAAGAACTCAATCAGAAGTATAATATACCTATAACCAAATAATGCTATAGCGATTAATCAATTATTGCAACCCATGAGCAATAAGCTACAGAAAATCCAGAAAATATTTATCCGCTTCATGTTTCTAAATAAAAAACTGTTGAACAGGATTACGGAAAAATTGAAATAAATCCTCTGGAAATAGGGTAGTAGATTTCACTGAAGAACTGAACGATATTTTTCTCCAGTGATTATATTCATTCAGGAAACCTAGATCCTAGATATAAAATATACTTAATAGAGAAGAAATATAAGCTAGCTAAGATAATCATCTACAAAAGAGTATCCACAAAAAAAACAACAAAAAAAACAGCCAAAATAACTACTGATTTCAACAATACTGATTTCTGAGTATTTATTGGCATCAATTTTCATCGGGCTTCATCTAGTAGCCAACAACCAAAACTTTTCGTTATTGATCCAAATACAGAGCCATCTATCCATGTAAACTTCAGAACAATTTGATTTTTCGAAGACATTTTAGTAAAAAAATAGTAAACTGGATGCGTAATCTACAATAAATCCTTAAAAAAGAAAAACTACATATAATTCTATAATACCTTAACTTTATTGTTTAATAACTAGTCACAGAACAAAATGAATATACATATACATATACTTGAACTAAAATACATTTTCCTATTATATAATATAATACACTTAAAAATATGAATGTACTTATATTTATAGCTTTTCACTGTGTACGTACTAGAATTATCCACTTTTTTCAGGCTTAATGACCATCAATCAATGCAGGGTAAATATGAAGGATTTACTCTGACTAGACTGTCCCAAGATATGCAATCAAGAGATGAAGGATGCAAGCCGCATTCATTTGCTTTTTGATAATATTTTGAACAGACTTTAGATGCAAGAGTATTCACTCAAAATTATCTATCAGGGCATTGGTAAGACAATAAGTTTCAGTTATTCTTGTTAGAAATCCTGTGAACTTGTTTAATACACAATGAAAAACTCTGGTAACAAGATATCAGCAAGACATAAGCACCAAACAAGATTTCGAACACATTGATAATTTGGTTTGAATAATAAGAATTCAGGAAAAAACTTTGAATATACTATGGAATTGATTTATTGCATTAGCCAATACTTGTATTGTTTTTATATGTACAACAAAACAGAATTTATCACAGCCTTATGATAAAGAATTTATCAAATATCATGCTGTATAATTATGATACTGACATGTGATTTAAATAAATATATGAACACATTAATTTAGTCAGAAGTTCATTGTCCAGAAAATGGTCCCCAATAATAAATTACTTACACGAATCATTCTTCAATTAACCATATACAGGGTGTATATTTTAAGTGATACCACTATTGTTATCTCCGAAATGGTAAGAGGCAAAAGGTCGATTAAATTAGAAAAAAGTTGCCCTTTTTGATGCCCATTCAAGATTTGTTTACAGTGTTGTCAAATTCCCTTTAGTTTATGAAATACAGGGTGATTTCTAAGAAACGCCCAAAAATATTTCATCAATTATTTCGAAAACTATTGATTTCCGGGACACACTTTACATTTTGAAAGTTTTATAGTTTTTTTTTTTTCTCTACAACATGATATCTTCAAATTTTGAATCCGGCAGTTCGTGATTGAGCTACCATCATCAACTTCATTTGTTTAAATACGGACCTGGATTTCTTTATGTCATTTTTAGAAACTGCCCTTTACCCCCTTTGTAAAAATGACATAAAAAATCCAGGTCCGCGTTTAAAAAAATGAAGTTGACGATGGTAGCTCAAACAAGAAACGTCGGATTTAAAATTTGAAGATGCCATGCTGTAGAGCAAAAAAATAACAAAACTTTCAAATTTAAATTGTGATGGTCCATCATCAACTTCATTTTTTTAAACGCGGACCTGGATTTTTTTTATGTCATTTTTACAAAGGGAGTAAAGGGTAGTTTCTAAAAATGACATAAATAATCCAGGTCCGCATTTAAAAAAATGAAGTTGATGATGGTAGCTCAATCTCGAAACGTCGGATTTAAAATTTGAAGATGCCATGTTGAAGAGCGAAAAAAAGTACAAAACTTTCAAATTTAAATTGTGTCTCAAATATCAATAGTTTACAAAATAATTGATGAAATAATTTTAGGTGTTTCTTAGAAATCACCATGTATTTCATAAACTAAAAGGATTTTGGCAACACCGTAAACAAGTCTTGAATGGGTATCAAAAAAGGCAACTTTTTTCTAATTCAACTGACCTTGTAGCTCTTACCGTTTCGGATATAGCAATAGTGGTATCACTTAAAATATATACCTACCCAGTATATTATGAAAAATTTCATTGCAATAAGGCAAATTAAAAAAATATAGCATGATACTTGAAAAGCAAGACAGTCAACAGTCAACTAAAAAATATCTCTCCTATTTTTGATTTTCGTTATCAGGACTTGACATGATAGTCAAAAAAAAAAAATCAACTATAATTCTGATCCATGAAAAAATACTTGCAAGGCCTGAATTTAAGTGAAAGTTCCCAAGACTATCATTACCCAAGTCAATTTTATTCTGTGAACTTGACACACTTTTGGCTGCTACAATAATTATAATGTAATGATTATTTAATTTTGTGCCTCAATGTAAAGTATCAAATTCACATTATTTGAAATTCTCAAACCTCTCCTTATAAATTCTCTCCCTATGCTTCCGATTGAAAATGTTCTTGATGTCCCATTCCACTCTCAAGATTCTGTCCTTAAATCTGCAACGATCTCTCGCGTACATCTCCCAGGGACCTTTTCTGGCTGATTGGTAAGCAAAGGACCATTTGATCATCGAGTGTACTTCGCAGAGTTTTTCATCAGAGACAAATCTAACCTGAGAACGGAAAATTTATTCAATAATTATCTCTTGTTGAGAGACAATAAAATGAATAATGCATACATGCATTATGAAAAAGCAAGGAAAAAAGTAAAAGTAGATACCTAGCTGTACCTAGTAGTTATTGTTAATCAAAGTCCTATTTAAAAAAAAATAAACATACAAATAAAATGTTTGCTTGCTTTTCTTGAAGATGTGATGTAAGATCTTGCTTGTATTAAAGCATGATTAAATTGTACTAAAATTAAAACAATAATAATAATGTGGTTAAGTTGAGGGTTTGATAGTCTATCTCTCGGTCTACGGACTACCTATAAATAAGGTGAAATATTTGGAAAACAAATATGTATATCCTTTTTGGAGTCAGATTTGAGATATGAGAGGTGACCACTAGCACAAATAACAAACAAGTTAAAAAAATGGAGGCTAAAAATATAACAAGGGGAAACAATCAAAGAAAGTAGATAAACAAAACAATAACAAGGTCCCTTTTTTCATTAAATAATGATTATTCCTGGGCAATCCTTATCCCTATAAATTAATTTAAAATTTGAAGCCAAAACTTTTATTTTATTTCATGTTTTAGTTTCAATGCAATTCTTGGCCTAATTCAAAATAGAAACTGTGGTAGGTAACTGTCCAAATATGACTTGGATTAGGTAATAAGGCAAGCACAATATTACTCTATTATCAGAAATGAGGATTGAGGATTATTATTTTATGACAGAGATATTATTGTTTTGTTACATTGCAAGCACACTTTTAAAACTTTTAGTATTAGAATTTTTATCAGATAAATATTGGAAACACCATTCTAATCTAATCATGAGTCTAATGGATGTATCTAATAAATAAAATCCTAGTTAAAATCTATGACATAAGTACCTTTTTAGGTACCTAAAATTAATATTTCAAAAAATATTTATTCGAAATTACAGTAATACCACACAAATGACTGGGATTTTCCATGAATAAATTCCCAGTAAAAATCTCAATCATAATCTATTTTTAAATGCACCGTACTGTGACTGAGTAGGTAGGATGACAATAAAATGTTTGGGATTTAGTCATCTATTAACTAATTGAGAATTAATTATTTGTGTTGTTGGGTTTTAATAAATTTCAAAGACTAATCAACCATTTCCTTTGTTTACACAAGGAAATCTCATATTAGCAGTTTTATTCTATTACCTGATACGTGCTTTTTCTCACAAACAAACCTATTTCCTCCACTGCAATTGAGATTAATTTGAAATATTTTTAAAGTATGGTACCTCAAGTGTGTAGACTCAATTATTATTGTGTATGTGAAACACAAGTGGGGTCAAAGTTTATTGAGATAAACATAAACTTGAGCCTAAACCAATATACTTTGATGATGGAATATTTAGAACATATAAAAACATGAGAAACAAATAGTACTTATTAATATTGAATTTTTACCTACTTGAGTGTTAGGGTTTGGTATGCCAAAATTAGCGGTATTTATACACTCGTTTATATATTTGCAAAATTGGCGAATACCCAAGAATTATGATTAGCAGTTATAACAATTAAACAAGAAATTAAACTCACCTTCTTTTTATCTCTTGTTCTGTCTGTTTGAGAATATGAAGTATGAGCAGCGGAACAATCAACTTCATCAAATTTAGACGCCTCCTCATCTTCGGAACTACTTTCCTCTTCAGAACTGCTTAAAAATGATGTATCATCGTCAGTTTCCTCATCTCCTCCATCAAATACTATAAAACTATCCTCACTCTCACAAACTGATGGATATTTTTGCCTTTGTACTTTTTTTATATTAATAAGAGATTGTTCTTCAGGTTCTTCTTCATTATCATCATCATCATCATCACTTTTTTCAAAAACAATAAATGAATCTTCACTGTCAGTAAGTGAGAATTGAGTAAAATTTTTGCTGCTAGGTGAGGGTGATATCATAACAAACATCTCTGCACCTTTGCTAATTGGTATGTGAATAGGGTCAGTTTTCCTTAGAGGTGGATGGGCTTTTAAAGGTTTTTGTGCAATAAAATCTGCAAGGATAAAATTGTGAGGCTCCTCTTGAGGATTTTGACTGAAACTAATATCCATAGACATAGAGAAATTGGCGACATCTTGACTGCTATCAATTTGCATTAGTTCTTTGATTTCTTTCTTCTGTGATAATTGTTTAGATTTCTTGCCAGCGTGCATATGTTTCTTGCCTTTATGATGTTCCCTTTTTCTTTGTTTTTTAGAAATCATGTTATTATCACTATCCACACACATGCTTGATAAACTACTTGTGAATGTTGGTTGCTGTTGATGAACTTGCTCAAACTTTGGGATAACTTCTGGGCATTTCTCCCTGATTTTGTCAATTATGTGACAGTGGTTTTTGAAATCATTAAGGAAATTCGGATTCTTAAAAGATTTCGCCGAAGACAGAGGTATTGAATTCACAAATAGTCCAAACTCTCTATTTTGTTGTTTGTAAGCTCCGTTCTGAGAGCGAGACAACAAACTACTGGGGCAATTGTGGCCCTGTGGGGCCATACACGAAGACCACATTTTTTCTTCTTTAATCGTTATTCTAAACGCCACAACAATGATGCCAAGAACCATTTGTTAAATGCGAATTCAATAGATTGATAATAGTAATAAATCGAGTTATTAATGTGGTACCTTGTGATTGTGGAAATCCTTGGGTGGGACACACTTTTTTCTTTACTAATTCCGATCTTAAATGAACTGGAATTGCACAAGAAACACTTTTTACGTTTGTATTAGCTCTGTAGAAAATTTCTGATAATTGATTAGCCATTGTTAACAACGTAATTCGAAAAATTTCCAAATATCGAATAAGTTCAAGCTGCCATTTTGAGTCTGTGATAAATAATGAATAAATTTTGTCCAGTGGTGTAATGAAAATATGGAAATGCAGAAAAAATGTGGAAAGGGCAATGGTTTTTCTGAACATGCTCTCTGATAAGTTTCTCTTTGTTTAATACCTTGCAGAAAACAAGGATAGCATTAAAGATAATGAGATTGCAGTTTGAAGTAACGTGCTGTCAGTAGTGTCAGTTTTATGTCTCAGGCGGTGTTGCCGTTGCCAACCAAGGATAAAGCACACTACTAAAGCCAATTTCACGCGATTGACCGATCGATCATCTTCACAGATAAACCATTAATTGCGTCATTTGTTAACCAATTGGTCTTAACTTCATTGGTCTTAACTGACGGTAAATGCATTTAGTCGCTGTCCAGTGACGCACTTTGAGCCCTCCTGAGCTGCTCTAGAGCGCCCCGGACTGTTTATAAGCGTTCCAGAATCCAGTGCATTCGTATTCATAGTCGATGATCAAGGTTGCGTCTTGGTTCGAGTACGAAGTACGACTTGACGCCATATTAGTTGTATTCCTTTCACACCTAGTAGGAGCTCCGGAACAGCTCCGGGGCTTCACGCGCTTATTCCTTTCGAAAAGTGTTTGTTGCACCACGCATATGTTCCATGCAAATCGGGGGCGACTAAGCACCGAAGCGAGTAGCTCGAGTGTTTCAAGCTCTTGAAAGGAATACAACTATTTGCATTTCCAAACAGCACGGAACGATGCTCACAACTGTCAAAAATCGGAGCTTGAACCAAGCACTCGTCTATGAATAGTTGTATTTGTGAAATGGAGTAAGATTACATGATTGCATTCGAGTATCAAGAAAGGAGTAAAAAGAGTACACTCCAGAAGTTCTATTTCACGAAGTGGAGGCTTTGTAGTGGACAAAGATGGACTATGAATGCTCATTTCAAGTTTTAATAAGTGTGTTTCTGCAGAAATCACAAACCAGTCAGACCGAATTTCATTAGTTGAAGACAGTCAGAAAACTATTTTCAACCTAATCTAAGTTTCAACCAATGAAATTAACTCTGGCTGGTTTGTGATTTCTGCAGAAACAGACCTAATATTTGTTGATTTTGCTCCAATTAATCGGAAGTCACCTAATAAAAGACCAGTCTACTCCACTTGAATGCAGAGTATAGTACAATCTCGAACAGGCAGCATTTACCATTTCACAGTCACACTCACTTGTCTTAGGGATAACAAACTATCGATAGGAATATCGATACTATCGATATTTTTTTTATTTTCGATAGTATCGATAGACCTGTGCCACTATCGATAGTTCCAAAGGGCCGGTTTCTCAATAGCGAGTCACCTCCGAGTTGGTATTAACTCCAGGGTAAGCGTGTCCAGTTGCAATAGTTGTATTCCTTTCACACCTAGGAGGAGCTCCGGAACAGCTCCGGGGCGTTATGTGCTTATTCCTTTCGAAAAGTCTTTGTTGCACCACGTAATTCTTCCTTTCAAATCGGAGTCGACTAACACCGGAGCGAGTAGCTCGAGTGTTCCAAACTCTTGAGGGTCGGTTTCTCAGTAGCGAGTAAATATAAAGAAATTTGTAGCTGTTTTGAGAAATCTGTAATAATTTTTGGGGGTAAACATGCTGTGCTGCCAATTTTTAATTTTTAGGTTAACAGGAGTAACGAGTGGCTTTCATGGACTTGATGGGGGTTGGAGGTTAATGGTTATTTAAGGTTATGATGTTATTGTTGTCATTTGATACATTTATTTCGTAATTAATTAGAAATTTGGGTAATTTGGTCAGAGCAAACTATCGATAGTACAATCGATAGTTACTATCGATAGGTAAGCCATTCTATCGATATCACTATCGATAGTTTTTTTTTCCATAGTTTGTCAACCCTAACTTGTCTAGCCGTGCGTTCGTTATTTTGGTCCGAGTTCTCCGAGCTTGACTTTACCGTTCGTTTATTTAAAAAGTGTACTCGGTGCAGCCTCATTCACGTTCTTTATTAAAATTTCTGGCACTTTTATTCAGCGTTCAACTGCTCTGTTCGCTCACTGGTCACGTGATTACGGCTCCGCTCAGCACGCTCTGCTCTTTGAGCAAAATACCGAACGCAAGGTAGAAAATTGGTATATGCCTACCGACTGTCAGTATTGTCTAGAGGTGGGCCACAGCCCTCTACACTTACAAGCCATGAAGTTAAAAAGGCAACACCGCAATCTTACCGCCAAGTGGTGCTGTTTTATTTAACCTCAATTCCGCGTATGGTTTATTTACTTTTATTGATGATATGAATTCTTATCTCAATTACATAAAAAAGTAGTTTTCTTTGAAAAAATATTAGTAGTTAGTAAAATTATTGTAATATTACCAATATTTTGTACATATTAATCACACAAAATGCATCATATTGTACTAAAAAGTAAAAACAGTAATTCAATGAATAATATAAATATTTGTGTAAATAAGAACAGTAAATAATTGATTTAAATAAATATATTACTAGATTCTAAAGTGTTATAATCCTATATCTATTTTATATGTACAAGGTCTTGTCAAACAATTCTATACAACTAGCAACTACCTATCATGTTAAAAAAATAAATACTTTCTAAGAATTCGGGAAAGCTACCCTTAAATCATACCTCTATTATTATTTTTAGTACCTAGGTACATTTTTTTTCTATTTCAAAGTGGTTAGTTTTCTTTTTTTACTTGAATCTGTTTTATTTTTATGACATTCACTATTTTTAAATTTTGTGTAGGGTGACTGCGCTAGTTTGCCGACCACTACTAGTTCTCGACCACATTCACCTTTAATCAGGAATAAATAGTAAATATGCACTCGTTTTTGTCCAATAAATGCTGAAATGGCTGCCAGGCAGTTTTCCCAATCTAAAATACCATTGAGATTTGATAGTTGATAAACGGTTTCGCCTTCAAAATTCATTTAAATAGTCGCTGACAAGGGGGTTGTTGTTTACACGTTGTGTCTATAAAAAGTGTATGTGTGTTTGATGTAGAAAATAGTAAATAATGTTCTTCTTGAATATAAGACTTTTCACTAATTGATTTTATGTTATAGTAGGTTAATTTTTCTATCGAATTTACGGATAAAATATAGTCTGAAACATTTTTTTACATAAAATTTTTGTTGGTCGGGAACTAATATACAAAATATATCAGAATTTAGTTTACGACCGGGGTGGTCGAGAACTGAGTTTCAAGTGGTCCATTTTCAATTCATATAAAACTATTTAGAAAAGTCGTGATAACTTTCTATTTTTATTTGTTAGTTGAATATTGAATATAATTTTTGTTTTTTAGTTTACGACCACCACTTTTCCTTTAAATACTGCGAAGAAAATTGGATATAGATTTAGCAAAATTATGTGGTCGAGAAACTAGCCTATTATAGTCTATTTCTCGTCCACTGTAGTTTCAAGTGGTCGAACATCTAAATAATATGGATCTGATTTTCGACCAGCATGTTTTTCTTATGAGAAACTCTGGACGCCGAACCAACATGATTTATTTAAATAATTTCTTCTCATCTAGTTTTCGTCCACATAATTTTTTTTAACTTCACTTACCTAAAGGAGAGAAAACCCCTAGTGCAATTTCTTCTGAAAAATGGAGAGATTACCTACTATAATAAAAAGAAAGACGAAATCCATAAAAAAAGTAAGTAGCCCGAAAAAAAGAAAAATGGAAAATGACAAAAGAAAATAATTTGAAAAAAAAGTTCAGAAAACTCTCAAAAAGAAAAAAAAATAAAAAATACTCAAAAACTTACCTCCAAATCTAAAGTATCCTCTTCATTATGCCAAGAAGATCTTTATAGTGACACAGAGGATGGAGATAAGAAAAACATCGGCTGTGACTTTTGTGAAAAATAGTTTCACAAAAAGTGTACCGAATTTGTTGATACTCCCTATGTAATTGCCGCCGTTCAAAGATTATAAATGTAGTCAGTACTGCTAATTTAATTTCATCAAATCTAAACATTTCATATTTTTAGTTAATTTAAAATAGGGGTATGTAGGTAGGTACCATCGTCATTAAAAGTATCTGGGACACAAATAATGCATAATATTCTCCTGGACTAATTCTACTGTCATTCATTTCAATGCATTTAATTCATAGTTTGACAAATATTTGACAATAAAATTCATATAATAGGACAAGAGCTGAGGTGATGCTGTTCCAGTTACTTTTGATGACGATGGTACTTAGCCTGAAACTTTCTAGTTTTAGCAGTTCCATATTTGTAAATATTCCAATTTTAGTTTTAATAAGAACTCCCCTTTTGTAATGGATTTTTATTTTTTTTTTTTATCTTTTGAGTTGTTTTGTTTTTATATATTTTTTTTACGTTTTAGGCACTTGTCTTTATAGGTACTAGGTAGTACCTTATTAAAAGAGAATTTATTATTGTTTTTTTAATCCTATAAGTTTTTTCGAAGATATTAACTTATGTTCCTATTCTTTTTTTGTATAAGAAACTGCCCTTTAGAAAATAAAATTTTGTTTCATACTGCTAATTTTCTTTTTTACTACCTAGGTAGGATTTATTATAGCTTTTTACGCGTATTAAAAGGTGGTCGAAAACCAACCCAAAAATGGTCGGAAGTTGCGACCAATGGTCGAGAACTAGCTAAATGGCACTTTTTTCATATTTTTATTAAAATTACACATTTCATGAAACAAAAATTAAAAACATATATAAAATATAAATTCGGAAATCTTCAGACTTTTAGAAAATCTTAGTTTTATTAATATATTTTAACTAGACATATTTTTATCGTGTTTTGAAGTGGAAGTTTCAGTTAACTGGTCGAAAACTAGCACACTGACCCTAGTTGTTTAAAATAATATTACTCATTATCAAAGAAGCAAAGGAGTAAATTTTTTTTGAGTTAGCACCACATTCACAAATTTTGTTCAAATCAATATTAAAGGTATCGGACTCTAAAGCTAATAAAGTAAGCTGCGATAATAAATTATGATGATCATTTGTTTTCAGGAACATACTTTCAAGATCTTTGTTATTAATTATATACTCGAAGATAGCACAAAGATGAAAATAAATAAACTTGGTTTCTTGAGTGGCAATACAGAGACCCCCTCTCTGCAGAGAATTAAAATATGTATGATCCGTCTGGATGCCTTTTGCTAGAACTACTAAACTTTGACATTTATCACATTTATTATTCTTCAAAACTGATCGAGCCATTCTTTCATAGGTAGATGATGACTGACAAAAAATAATAAGTGAAAACAACATAGTTGGCATGCTATATCTTTTCTTTTTACAATCAAGTAAAAAGAGTTGATTCAATAATATTCCTAATAAGTTTTTGTACTCACAACCTTCATCAAGTTTTTTGATACCTTCTTGAAGATAATACTGAGCTTTTTTAAAACAATAAATTGAATCTAAAGAAATGTCATTAACAAAAGTGTATCGAGTCAATAAATTTTCTATTTGGGACCACCTACTGAGTTTTCTACTACTCGGTAGAATCCACATAAGGTCACTACTTGTAATCTCATTGTCTCCAACAAAAATACTTACCACTAATTCTTGGCTAACACTTACACTGGAAACAATTTTCAAATTTTCAATATCACAGTCATATCCATCACGATCAATATTTAACATATAAAAATGTACAAATGTCGAAGATACTTTACATTGCCATTTATTCAGAGTTATTTTAGTTTCAAGAAGTTTTACAAAATTTTCAAAGCTTGGAATCAGATCACTTTGAAGATAATTTTCTACAGTTTCGGTATGTCTTTTAACAATATCACTTTTTCTAGCTTCAGGATTTTTTCGGATGGTAGGGGCAGGTCTATTTAAATATTTGGGCTGGTTTTCGAAAATATGTGGTACAGCGTTGCTTTTGAGGATTGGACGTTTAAGTTTGTGTTCTCGACTTACTCCTTCTTTATCTTTGTATGTTTCAAATCTAATGATTTCATTTTTTTCAAAATGTTTCGCACACACTACAGAATTTTTTGTTACCGTATAATTATCTCGGTGTATAGCTTTTAGCCATAATTTCTGTAATTCGGAAGTTTTTGGAAATGAAAATGTTGTTTGCAGTTCCTCAGTCTTCAGGGAACTCCTATAGTTGGATTTGCACCTTGGCACACAGCAGTTTCTTGGCATCTGGAACAAGTTTAAATATCTTAGATAATAATAATATCGAGACCTATACATGTGCTCTTGCACTTTGCAAAGTGGAAACAAATATTATATTGTTTTTATTTGCTTTTACCTTAACTCACCTTAATTTTTGCTCCTGTACCGATTGCAGTATTTGCTATAAATTCACAATCAAAACACAACTAATAATGGCATAACAGGTATGAACCAAATATAAACAGTAAGTAAACAATATATTGGTGTTTCTAGCCACTTTTTCGTTTGAAAATGCACCTCAGTCTAGCAATAAACAATGAAAACAATACACAGAAACATATAACCTCAATAGCAAAATAGCACCATTGGCGACGTTGCCGTTATTTCCAACTTCATGGCTTGTAAGTGTAGAGGGCTGTGGGTGGGCCAACCTGCGATTTTAATGGAGCAGTGACAAGACGTGACTGCTCCAGTCGTGTCACTGTGACAAATAGCAGTGATTTTTTGGAGCAGTTTTACCTTAGTTGGCGGCCGTACTGCTCATATTATGTTAATGCTACATCGCAATATGGCATAATCGCAGTCCGCAGTCACGGCCGGGAGAGATGTTCCAGTTTCTAGCCTGCCCTTTGCAGTAACAGTTTCTATTTAGCGTGACCGCGATGCGATTTATAACATTATATTATTAAATTTGCATCACAGCTCCAGTTTTGTCCGCGCTGCATCGGTCGGAGCTTTAAGCGGGCAGTGACAAAATGTCACTGCTACTTGACTGGGACTGGAGCAGGCTGTGACTGGGACTGGAGCAGGCTGTGACTGTGACAGACAAGTAGCAGTGACAAAGTCACAGTTCGTGAAATCGCAACCCACCTCTAGTATTGTCATTATCCGTCATTTTCAAACCTCCATCCGTTTCAACACTTTCAACGTCTTTTCAACCCTAAATCCACTCCCTCCAAACACAAAGGTCTTCCCCGAAAAGTTCAAGTTCCAACTTCCAACCACCCAACTCCAAGGAGGGAAAAAGAGAAGCAAGATTCCCAGATTTATAAACAACAATAAAGTCAACTAGTCAACCAATGTGTGTATAACATTGTTATGTGTATGGTGTAGGCCCTTGTTCATGTATTTATGATTTCAAACTCAATTTTTACTAGTTTTTAAAAATATCAGGAAACTAATGGAAGAGACCAACTCTAGAATGTTTCCCAAACCGTCGGTGAGCAAAACGGCCTCAAATGTGGCTGCAGAGAACAACAAGGAAAATCAAAGTAAGATTTTGAGTCCATGAAAACTATTTTTTAAATAAATATATTGCAGATCAAGATCAAACTGTAACGTCTACATGTGCAAAAGCACAACAAGTTGCGTCAGGTGCCCAGAAAACACGTCCAGCAGCAACGGAAGAAAAAAAGAAATGGACTCTGGATGACTTTGATATTGGTAAGTACAACTTGTATAAATAATAAGCATACATACATTTGCCTTTGTTTTAAAGGTAAAGCATTGGGTAAAGGGAAATTCGGCAATGTCTATTTAGCTCGTGAAAAATCCTCCAAGTTCATTATAGCTTTGAAAGTTTTATACAAATCTGCCATCAAAGAGTTTGAAAACCAGCTCCAAGTCCAACGTGAAGTAGAAATTCAAAGTCATTTAAGACACCCAAATATTTTACGTTTATATGGCTATTTTCATGATGACACAAGAGTTTATATTATTTTGGAATACGCACCTAAAGGATCTGTTTATAATTTTCTAATGTCACAACCACAAAAGAGATTCACTGAAGATGTATGTGCTCGTTACATAAGGCAAATAGCTGATGCCCTTAAATATTGCCATGTGAGAAATATAATTCATAGAGACTTGAAGCCTGAAAATCTCCTGCTAGGGAGCAATGGAGAGATAAAAATAGCAGACTTTGGTTGGTCAGTCCACACTCCCAGCTCTAGACGTACCACTATTTGTGGCACCTTAGACTATTTGCCACCAGAAATGGTAAATGGAAATTCTCATGACGAAAAAGTCGATTTGTGGTCTCTGGGCGTTCTATGTTTTGAATTTCTATGTGGAAAGCCACCTTTTGAGGCTACAAGCTACACTGATACCTATAGGAGAATCAGCAAGGGTTATTTTAATTTTCCTAGCCACATACCTAAGGGGGCTCAAGATCTCATTAGGGCTCTTATGAAGGTGAATCCTGACGAACGTTTGAGATTGGAATCTGTCTTGAAGCATCCATGGATTTTAAGTTTTCGCTAATAAGTTATAGTTTATTCTAATTTATTGTTTATACTTAATTATTATTATTATTTTTTTGGAATAAAGAATTTAGTTCGCAATTTGTAATTTTTGGTGTTTTGCTTTCCCTTGATATTCCACAGCAAGACAATGAGTTAAAGTCTGTTTTTTTTTAAAGATAAAAATCAAAATGACATTATGTTGGCAATACAATGTAAAATTGTCAATGCTTAAAATTTTGTATGTAGAAAAGGCTTGTGTTGCCAACAAAGCTACTAAATTTTTGACTTGGGGAATTTTCTTTAAAAAAAAAACATAGGTACTTTAGAATTTTTTTCATGAGAGAACTAACCTACTATCGGATTAGACCAGTGCATAACGACCATTTTTTTTAAAACGATTTTCTCCCGTCTGCCATTAAGGGTGGTTATTCTTCATGCAATAAAAAGTGGAATGGCTGAAATTTCAAAGAGCCCCGCGTGTGACAATACAATGATATGCTCATTTGAAAATGTAATGAAAAGTGGAGATTTGGATCAATATTATCCCGTCTGCCACACATTGTGAGGGTAATTTAAACAAAAATTAGTAGAAGGAAGCTAAACGGCGGAAGCCCTAGGTTGGTATAAAGTGTCATTACGAATTTAAAAATGTCGCCAAAATCGGACATGTGGATTAACGACCTCCCGTCTGCCAAATTAAAGTTATGTTACATTTACGATGTAATACATCAATAAGTAGATGGCAGAAAATCTCTGTTGGTATAATAATACTTAACAATCTTTGAAGTTGTATCAAAATGCTGAGATGTTGAAACAATTTTCTCCCGCCTAAAACATGTTTTGTTACAATGGATTTCAGATAAATAATGTACAGGGTGATCCAGTATAAAGTGAGCACCCCCTACCTTTTCGCTAAAAAAATTTTTTTTGAAAAAATCAAGATAGCCATTTGATGTATTTTGTTTCTAAGTATTTGAAAACGTATTTCGAAATTTAATTAGATTTTCCATTGAAGCGCTGTGACCAAAACAGTAATTTTTTTAAATGGAATAACCTATATTTAAATCTATTTTTTTAACGCACATATTTTTCTCCTTTCAAATATATAGTTTGTTTATTTTTATTTTAGTAATTTGCGATATATTCTCACTTTGAAATGCACATGAAAATAGCCGAAAAGGTATCAGAAAACATAATAACCAGTAGTTTTATTAAAGGTAAAATTATTTAGATTCACCTTGATACCTTTTGGGCTATTTTTAATTAAATCTTAAGTAAGAATATATCGCAAATTACTGAAATAAAGATAAACAAACTATGGATATCTGAAATAAGAAAAATAAGGGCGTTTAAAAAATGGATTTAAATATAAGTTATTCCATTCAAAAAAATTGATTTTGTCGTCACAGCGCTTTAACGAAAAATCGAATAAAATTTCGAAAAACGTTTTCAAATTCCTAGAAACAAAACTGACCAAATGGCTATCTTGATTTTTTCAAAAAAAATTTTTTTAGCGAAAAGGTAGGGGGTGTTCACTTTATACTGGATCACCCTGTACCTTTACACCGGCAGAAAAATTGAAGTGGTACAGATATTTATTTTAAATTTTTCAAAATGTTAAAATTTCTCAAATTTGAGATCAATTATTTCACGTCTGCCATTAATTTATATTAAATAAGTTGCTACCAAAAGCTTAAGTTTTGACTAGCAGAAATTGCAGACTGGTACAAGTCCTAAAAAACAATGAACAAAATTGCGACAAAAATTGTTTATTTTCAAACATCATATAACATTAATTTTTATGATCATTTTGACAGGGTATAATAGTCACTTCAATGACTGTCAGCTGAAGCGGCGTATAAGTGGAGTATAACATTTATACGCCGTTACACATGTTTTTCCATAGTGATTCAAGGTAGTTCACCTGTACGTACAGGTATAGCTGCTTATAAAGATGATCCTTCTAAATATGAATGTCATAATTTAAATTAAAAATTCTGCACTATTCGGAATAAAGATTGTTTGAAAATAAAATATTGAATTTCATTCGGAGTATAAGTATTCTTCATGTGACTTGCATGGATTTTTTCAAACTTCCACGCGCGTCACATAAGTATTACTTATACTCCTAATAAAATAAATATCTATTATATGATGAGCGTTTTTAACCCGTCTGCCATTTGGTTAAGTGAAATGTAATTATGAGAATATGCATATTTTCAATATGGCAGAAACCGCAATAAGTTACATAAGTTGCACAATATGGTTGTTAAATTGCAATTTTCTCCCGTCTGCTAACTTAATTGAATAGAGTTACTATCAAACTGAATACCTATCAAAAGGCAAAATGACTGCTTATGTACAAATGTTTGAAATCTCACATACATGTTATAATTTTTTTTTTTCAATGCCTATCACACATATAGGTTTTTCTGATGAGGATGAAAATGAAGAAGAAATTAATGAAAGCGAAGATTTTGGCGATCTATCAGATTTGGATGACAGCAATAATGATGATAATAATGGAAAAGGTGGCATCAGTTGTGATGGAAGTGACTCTGAATGGATAGATAACAATGAAAACGTTAATGATGATGCTGATGATAATAATGACGTGCTGTTTTTGATGATTAAAACATTTTTTTTTTTTTCTAAAGATACAATTTTTTATTGTTCTGCCTTATCATATTTAGGTATCTTGAGAGCTACTTTAATTTTAATTACCCAGTTGTCAGACGGGAGAAAGTTGTTTGGACACATAAACATTTTTCGCATTTCAACAATAATTGTGCAACGTATATATGTAGCTCATAGCGGTTTCTGCCGTATTGAGAATATGCATATTCTCGATTATAAGAACTTGTATCAGCCTGCAATTTCTGCCAGTCGAAATTTAAGCTTTTAGTAGTAGCTAATTTAATATAGATTATTGGCAATTGGCAGACGGGAAAAAATTGATCTCAACTTTGAAAAATTTTGACATTTTTATTGTTTCTGTCAATTGGTAATATACCTTGGATACATCTGCCAATACATTTCTTGGATATTACTTTGCATGTCAAACTTATCTTCCAAATGGCAGATGGGAGAAAATTGTTTCAACATCTAAGCATTTTGATACAACTTCAAAAATTGTTAAATATTATTATAACAACCGAGATTTTCTGCCATTTCCTTATTGATCTCATACATCGTAAATGAAACATAAATTTAATTTGGCAGACGGGAGTTCGTTGATCCACATGTCCAATTTTGCCGACATTTTGAATTTAGTAATATGTATAAATATAAGTATATACTAACCTAGGGTTTCCGCCGTTTAGCTTCCTTGTACTCATTTTTGTTTGAATTACCTTCACAATGTCTGGCAAACGGGATAATATTGATCCAAATCTCCACTTTTCATTACATTTTCAAATTAGCATATCATTGTATTGGGTCGTATGAATAAAAACGAAGTACTTGCTACTACTACAAGTATTAGCATGTTCTTCGGAGTATTTACTTCAAAAAGAAGCATTTGCTAATTTCCGGTAGTATCTACTTCACTTGACATAGAACATGCTTCGACGCGAAGTATATACTCCATATTATGAAGTATCTACTTAACAAGTGTAGTAGATTCTTTGAAATGTGTAGTAGGGACTTCCGTCATATATACATCGCGGGAGGCCCGGGCTAACATTTTGACATGTTTGGTTTTTGGGAAACGACAGGTGTGTGTCAGTTTTGTATGATAAATATTTATTTTAACGTCAACAGTCCTTCAAGATGTCTTCGGATGAAGAAAGTCTGGTAGAAGAATCCCAAAATGAAGACCAACAGATGGCATTCGTCATTATGCTTGAAGACTTCAAAATAATGTTGGATAAAAGAATGACACCTCCGATAAAATCGGCAAAAGAAGCAGCTCTAAAAGAATTAACAGAGGTTTTTAATGAAAATTCGAAACAAAAGCTAAATTCCAAACAAGTACTGAAAAAAGTCAACAACATGAAAAGCAAAATAAAGAAAATAACCGATGTAATGAGAACTGGGAACAAAAAAATTAAACTGAATGGGTGGCAGCAAAAATTTTATAACTTATGGAATGCTTATGAAAATCCAATCATCCAAAAAGTTCCAGGTAACTAATAATATATACCTATTTTTATGAAATGATTCAATTTTGTTCCTTCCAAATAAACATTTGAGGAAAATAGCCGAAACGAAAGTCAAATTATTTCATTTTTCTTAGAAATGTTTCACCCTGTATACTTAGATAATAAACATTTCAGGAGGAGTAACTGCTGGCACCAGCAAAGATGAGCCCGCTGGACGAAAGAGGCGTTTAATTAGTGAAGAAGAAACAATCGATGAAGCTACAGATTTTAAACAATTTTTCGATCAAAATGAGGGAAATATGGGTCCATCAGAAAAACTGCAAAGGATTTTACTTCTTAAACAAATTGATGCTACTTCAGCTCAAGAAAAAGCAGCTGTGGCCCAAGAAAAAGCTTTTAGAGCTGTAGAAAAAACTGCACAAGCTGCGGAGCACAGTTTGTTGAAGATATTTTCTGAGGCAACATTCGGTTTTCTAAAATAGTTGGCATTTGAATTTTTTTTTATAAGAAATAAGGTTTCTGTTTTTTTTTTCTCAGTTTATAGGGTTTATCAATGTTCCTATTTATTTTATATATATATATATATATATATATATATATATATATATATATATAAAATAAATAGGAACATTGATAAACCTTATAAACTGAGAAAAAAAAAACAGAAACCTTATTTCTTATAAAAAAAAATTCAAATGCCAACTATTTTAGAAAACCGAATGTTGCCTCAGAAAATATCTTCAACAAACTGTGCTCCGCAGCTTGTGCAGTTTTTTCTACAGCTCTAAAAGCTTTTTCTTGGGCCACAGCTGCTTTTTCTTGAGCTGAAGTAGCATCAATTTGTTTAAGAAGTAAAATCCTTTGCAGTTTTTCTGATGGACCCATATTTCCCTCATTTTGATCGAAAAATTGTTTAAAATCTGTAGCTTCATCGATTGTTTCTTCTTCACTAATTAAACGCCTCTTTCGTCCAGCGGGCTCATCTTTGCTGGTGCCAGCAGTTACTCCTCCTGAAATGTTTATTATCTAAGTATACAGGGTGAAACATTTCTAAGAAAAATGAAATAATTTGACTTTCGTTTCGGCTATTTTCCTCAAATGTTTATTTGGAAGGAACAAAATTGAATCATTTCATAAAAATAGGTATATATTATTAGTTACCTGGAACTTTTTGGATGATTGGATTTTCATAAGCATTCCATAAGTTATAAAATTTTTGCTGCCACCCATTCAGTTTAATTTTTTTGTTCCCAGTTCTCATTACATCGGTTATTTTCTTTATTTTGCTTTTCATGTTGTTGACTTTTTTCAGTACTTGTTTGGAATTTAGCTTTTGTTTCGAATTTTCATTAAAAACCTCTGTTAATTCTTTTAGAGCTGCTTCTTTTGCCGATTTTATCGGAGGTGTCATTCTTTTATCCAACATTATTTTGAAGTCTTCAAGCATAATGACGAATGCCATCTGTTGGTCTTCATTTTGGGATTCTTCTACCAGACTTTCTTCATCCGAAGACATCTTGAAGGACTGTTGACGTTAAAATAAATATTTATCATACAAAACTGACACACACCTGTCGTTTCCCAAAAACCAAACATGTCAAAATGTTAGCCCGGGCCTCCCGCGATGTATATATGACGGAAGTCCCTACTACACATTTCAAAGAATCTACTACACTTGTTAAGTAGATACTTCATAATATGGAGTATATACTTCGCGTCGAAGCATGTTCTATGTCAAGTGAAGTAGATACTACCGGAAATTAGCAAATGCTTCTTTTTGAAGTAAATACTCCGAAGAACATGCTAATACTTGTAGTAGTAGCAAGTACTTCGTTTTTATTCATACGACCCAATACAATGATATGCTAATTTGAAAATGTAATGAAAAGTGGAGATTTGGATCAATATTATCCCGTTTGCCAGACATTGTGAAGGTAATTCAAACAAAAATGAGTACAAGGAAGCTAAACGGCGGAAACCCTAGGTTAGTATATACTTATATTTATACATATTACTAAATTCAAAATGTCGGCAAAATTGGACATGTGGATCAACGAACTCCCGTCTGCCAAATTAAATTTATGTTTCATTTACGATGTATGAGATCAATAAGGAAATGGCAGAAAATCTCGGTTGTTATAATAATATTTAACAATTTTTGAAGTTGTATCAAAATGCTTAGATGTTGAAACAATTTTCTCCCATCTGCCATTTGGAAGATAAGTTTGACATGCAAAGTAATATCCAAGAAATGTATTGGCAGATGTATCCAAGGTATATTACCAATTGACAGAAACAATAAAAATGTCAAAATTTTTCAAAGTTGAGATCAATTTTTTCCCGTCTGCCAATTGCCAATAATCTATATTAAATTAGCTACTACTAAAAGCTTAAATTTCGACTGGCAGAAATTGCAGGCTGATACAAGTTCTTATAATCGAGAATATGCATATTCTCAATACGGCAGAAACCGCTATGAGCTACATATATACGTTGCACAATTATTGTTGAAATGCGAAAAATGTTTATGTGTCCAAACAACTTTCTCCCGTCTGACAACTGGGTAATTAAAATTAAAGTAGCTCTCAAGATACCTAAATATGGTATGCTGGGTTCGGTAATTGCATCTGCGAGCGAAATGAGCAAAAAAACTCGGATATTTATCCTTTTGAATGTGACACATGCAAATCAAAATTTAAACGGAAAGGCAATTTAAAGATTCACAAACTAACACAGTCGGATATTTATCCATTTGAATGTGACACTTGCAAAGCAAAATTTAAACAGAAAGGTAATTTGAATAGTCACAAATTAACACATTCTGATATTTATCTTTTTGAATGTGATACTTGTATATCAAAATTTAAACGGAAAAGCGATTGGAAGATTCTCAAACTAACACATTCGGATATTTATCTATTTGAATGTAACACTTGCACTGAAAAATTTAAACTTAAATACAATTTAAAGAGTCATTTATTAACACACTCAAATGAGAATTTGTTTAAAGTGACATTCAGTGACCCATTCAGCTGGATAAATGTAAGTTTGAATGTAATGCTTATATTGGTGAGTTTAGCATAAGCATTTTTTTCAAATGCTTCCATCCAAATTAACACATTCTGATATTTATCCTTTTGAATGTGACACTTACAATTTGAAGAGTCATTTATTAACACACTCAAATGGGAGGAGTTTTAAATGCAACATATGCCACGCCAAATTTAAAGCTGGAATTTGTTTAAAGTGACATTCAGTGACCCATTCAGCTAGATAAATGTTAGTTTGAATGTAATGCTTATATTGGTGAATTTAGCATTAGCATTTTTTTTTCAAATTCTCTCATTTATTTTTGGTTAAAAAATTTATCATTTATAGCTTTGAAGCTGTATAATTTGCTGTTTATATTGTTTATTGTTTTTTACGCCCTAAAACACCTGCTAGGTTTTGTATTTAATTTGTAATTTTTGATGAAATATTCAAATATCACTATCAAATAGTATGCATTTTTAAATCTCAGTAATAGTATTTCTATAGTTTTTTTTTCTTCATTTACTTATATCGCTGGCATCAGTGAACTTTAGCACAAATATTGAATTTCTAAACTCAAAAACAATTGAATGAAGCCGTGTATAATAGCTGGGTTCGGTAATTGACACGCGAAAAGAGATAAGTGATCACGTGACGTCTGCTCACTTCGCTCGCAGATGCAATTACCGAACCCAGCTATTATACGCGGCTTCATTCAATTGTTTTTGAGTTTAGAAATTCAATATTTGCGTTGAAGTTCACTGATGCCAGCGATATAAGTATATGAAGAAAAAAAAATTGTAGAAATACTATAGATAAACTGACACATTTTAGAGATGAATATCTCGAAAACGAGAAAAGATAACGGGATGCGGTTTGTTCTGGAAGAATAAGGATTTTTTAAAGTTTTTTTTCATGATGTTGACGAATCCTGAAATTTGGTTTTACAGACATTCGATTTTTTGAAATAATAACATACTGCCTTATTCTTGATGAAACACCCAGTATATTTTGTCATCATCAGAAAGCGTGACTTTTCTAGTTCACAAAAATGTTTAATTTTTTTCAATTATCATGAAATTAAATCGTAAAAATTGCACTTGGTTGAAGGGCGTACTGTCGACTGGACAAAAAAAAAATGATAAGAATCAATTTTCACGATGTAAGTTTAAGATAATTGAAAAAAATTATACATTTTTGTAAAGTAGAAAAATCAGCCTTTCTGACGATGACAAAAGATACGGGGTGTTTCATTAAAAATAAGGCAGTTATTTTATTTCAAAAAATCGCATGTCTGTAAAACCAAATTTCAGCAAATTTCAGGATTCGGAAATAATGTGGAAAAAAACTTTGAAAAATCCCTGTTCTCACAGAACAAACCGCATCTCGTTATCTTTTCCCGTTTTCGAGATATTTACCTGCAAAATGTGTCAGTTTATCCAAGGATATTACAAAGATATTAAAATGCAACCTATTTGATACTAATATTTTAATATTTCATCAAAACTTAAAAATTAAATACAAATCATAGCAAATGTTTTAGGGCATAATATTTTCAAAGAAGCTATGACCTCTCGAACTCCATCCAGCACCTACACTATTATTGTTAGAAAAGTTGTATATTATTATGACTCTCTGGATCCTCTGTGGCATAAACCTAATATTCTCACTGCGTTTCATATTTGCTGACTGGAAGCAACAATGGCTTTGGCTTCTGCTAAAATGATGACACGATACAAAACATCACACCACACAAAAATCCCGAGCTAAAAATAGATTGCCATGTTGCCAAGCTTCGGACGCAATAACATACTAGGTTTATTTACTGTATACTTGACTCTGTATATTATTTTCGCACCTCTACCGGAGAATCGATGAACTAATAGTTTTTTATCTATAACACGAATATTATTGCGTCCACTACCAAACAGAAAATCCAGTAAAATCATAAGAATCTCAATAGATGCTTCCACTTTTTATTGTGGAAAGGAAACTTAGAAACTTTTACCACCTGTTCGCGCCTAAATTTTGTTTAAAAATAGACGGAAACTCGCAAAAATATGAGTTGACATTGTTGCGTCCGATATTCGGACGCAGTAATTCGAAGGAAGCAACAGTGTATGTGTTGAGGAAGTTTATGGACGCAGCAATGATAGGATTTTGTATATATATATATATATATATATATATATATATTGATTTGTTTTCTTGAACCGTAGGTAATATATTAGTAGTTTTTTTTTTGGGTTTAGGTTCATAAATGAAACGACTTTTTTATTTCCTAACGTTTCGCCTTTAATTTAAGGCATTTTCAAAGGGATTGTTTTCCTAAAAAAAATAAATAATAATTTCACATTAACTTATTCACTAATTATGTAATAATAAAAGAATTTTCCTAAAAATGTTTAATACAGTGTACATACCTCGAAAATGTTATTTCTTATTACCAGGTACCATTTTATGTTGTTGGTTTCAAGGTACTAGGTGTTTTGATATGCGACAATAAAGGAACCATGGTATGTACCTATGTTTTTTTTTTTTTTTTTTTTTATATTAAAATTTTTATTATATTTAAATTGATCTATTAATATGTGTTCACACTAGATTGAATTTTGCGTCATTTGGGTTGGTTGATAATCTATTTTTCATTAATTATCCGTTGTTATAAGGTTGTTCGACTTAGTCCCATTATGTCAGTTCTGTCATTCACAGCATTTTTTTCTTTTCTAATTTCTATCATTTCTTTGATCATTAATTTATGAAAATTGTTGTCTTTGTTTAATATTGTGGTATTGTTAAACGCAAAACAGTGATTTGAATCTTTCATGTGTTTATCCAATGCAGTGTTGGCATTTTTAGTGTATTTATGTCCATTTAGTCTGTTCTTTACAAGTTGAGTGGTCATGCCAATGTATTTTTTGGGACAATTTTCACAGGGGATTGAGTAGACCACATTCGAATCTTTCATAATTGGCGTTTTACTTTTTAGTTTCGTAAAAAGGGAGTTTAAACTATTTTGGGATTTGTGGCATACTTCTGTCATGCTTTTTCAGACAGCTTTTCAAGTTTTCCGATAACTCTGCTGTATATGGAATAGAGATATATCGTTTTGGGTCATTGGTTTGAGTGTCTTTTTTCAAACCACCCAAAAAATCAAAAACTGAGTGTCATCATTGGCTTAACAGATCGTGCTATTGCTCTCACTTCTCCCCAATTTAGACCAGAAGTTTTAAAGAAAGTAACAGAAACACTTATCAAAAATGGTTTTACTACAATTGATATAAACTGAATAATTAAAAAACGAACTTACAAACATTATAATAAAATGAATCTTAAAAAAGACACTCAAACCAATGACCCAAAACGATATATCTCTATTCCATATACAGCTGAGTTATCGGAAAAATTGAAAAGCTGTCTGAAAAAGCATGACATAGAAGTATGCCACAAATCCCAAAATAGTTTAAACTCCCTTTTTACGAAACTAAAAAGTAAAACGCCAATTATGAAAGATTCGAATGTGGTCTACTCAATCCCCTGTGAAAATTGTCCCAAAAAATACATTGGCATGACCACTCAACTTGTAAAGAACAGACTAAATGGACATAAATACACTAAAAATGCCAACACTGCATTGGATAAACACATGAAAGATTCAAATCACTGTTTTGCGTTTAACAATACCACAATATTAAACAAAGACAACAATTTTCATAAATTAATGATCAAAGAAATGATAGAAATTAGAAAAGAAAAAAATGCTGTGAATGACAGAACTGACATAATGGGACTAAGTCGAATTTACAACAACCTTATAACAACGGATAATTAATGAAAAATAGATTATCAACCAACCCAAATGACGCAAAATTCAATCTAGTGTGAACACATATTAATAGATCAATTTAAATAGGTATAATAAAAATTTTAATATAAAAAAAAAAAAAAAACATAGGTACATACCATGGTTCCTTTATTGTCGCATATCAAAACACCTAGTACCTTGAAACCAACAACATAAAATGATACCTGGTAATAAGAAATAACATTTTCGAGGTATGTACACTGTATTAAACATTTTTAGGAAAATTCTTTTATTATTACATAATTAGTGAATAAGTTAATGTGAAATTATTATTTATTTTTTTTAGGAAAACTGTTTGAGAAAAGTTTTTTGGATTGATTTTCTCCGCTTTTTCCATCCATAGACGCGTTTCGACCTATATCAGGTCTCATCAGTATGGCTAGGAAAATATATATATATATATATATATATATATATATATATATATATATATATATATATATTGATATATATATATATATATATATATATATATATATATACCTAAGTACTTAATTAATTAATATAAACTAATAATAAATTTGAAGTATTTATCGAAAAATATGAAAGGCGTTAATTTCTCTGTTCGTATATCAGATCAGCAACATGATTACGAAATTGTATGCCTTGGCGTCTAATTTCACCTATATTGCCTGCAGGAAATAGTTGGGGCATTACAGGTTCTTCTCCAACATAAATTGGTCCGAAATCATTAGGGTCGCTCAAAAACTTTGAACAATTATGTAGAATAAATGCCGACATAATATATTTACAAATTCTGTCCGTTTTTATTCGTAAAGTGTGCTGTAACGTTGGAAATCGCCTTTTCAATTGCCCGAAGCACCGTTCAATAATAACGCGTTCTTTTGCATGCATTCTGTTAAAATATTTTTCAATGTCTGTTAAAGGATTTTTAAATGGCGTAAGCATATATCGAGTTGCAGCATATCCGGAATCACCCAAAAGACATACATTTTCCTGATTGTGGAACATAAGAGGGTAAATTAACGAATTGGACCATATCCTGCTATCATGGACAGAACCAGGCCACGATGCATCAACGCTCGAAAACTTTTCTTGATGGTCGCACGTTGCTTGCACATTTATTGAGCAAACACCTTTTCTGTTAACATACTCGTCACCGTATATGTGAGGTTTTGAAATTTTTACGTGCGTGCAATCAATTGCACCAATGACATTTGGTATTACATGGTTTACTGCCCACTCTTCTTTGGCTGTGTTAAGGGCTTGGCCTGAAGCAGGAAATGTAATCCATTTATTTTTTTTTTTGCGCAAATTGCACTAGAGACGAAATTAATTGTTTTGGAAACTGTAGTTTGATGAATTCCAATATCCAAACCAACACCTAGTTGCATTCCAGGACCCCCTTAAACAAAATAAAACATTTAAATATTACATGAATATCACTAATTTTTTATTTGCGTTCCAAATTTCTTCTATGTAGTATACAAATGTTTTTTGGGGGCTTTGAAGTTTTTACGGTTAAGGTTCTTAGAAATACTTCCATTTGCTGAATATGTGAGAGCGCACCACCTCTAGTTTCATTCGTCTCTCTGAGGAATTCGTTGGCTAGAAACGTAACGTTTTCTCTACTAAACCTAGATAAGAAATATAAAATCTGAACATAAAACATTCTAAATTTATAGTACTCATAATAGCTTACCTATATATTTGACGGTATAAGGTATCATCTTCGTAGTGTATTCTCTCAGGATAAATTTTTTGTCTTCGTATTTGAGCAATTTGTGCCATATTTCAAAAAAAAGTACAGCAAATACTTCAGTTGTTTTTAAAATCGAAGTGAAATAGATACAAAATACCAGTGAAAAGTAGATACTTCCAGCCGTAGTAAATGCTACGATAATGTCAAGGAGAATGCTTTTATTTTAGCAACTTCCGGAAAAACAGAAGAAAGTACTTCGAAATGTAGTATCTACTTCGTTTTGAAGTAAATACTAAGTAGAACATACTAATACTTGTAGTAGTAGCAAGTACTTCGTTTTTATTCATACCACCCATTGTCACACGCGGGGCTCTTTGAAATTTGAGCCATTCCACTTTTTATTGCATGAAGAATAACCACCCTTAATGGCAGACTGGAGAAAATCGTTTTAAAAAAATGGTCGTTATGCACCGGTCTAGATATAGAGTAGGTACTACCTAGATGTTGCTGAAATTTGTAGTGAATGAAAAAACTTTGAGACAGATTATTACTTTATTATGGGGCATGCTTAGATTGACATGCGTGTAATTTTATTTCTAAATTTTCTACTATATACAGTGTGTCCGAAATTCGAGTCTCTACATGGGGATTTCGCTTATTATGAGAGATACAGGGTGGCTCAAATTAGGAAAGTTTCAGGGAATTTATTGCTCATTTATATCCTGTTGTTAAATTTGTTTCAAAGTTTTCTGTTTCCTAGAAATCCAAAAAAAAACTGAAAATAGCCAATTTTGTTTTTTGTCAATAATTCATAAACCGTTAACTTTAGGCTTTTCTAACTTTAACATTATTAGACACTTTTTTGAGACGGATATTTTCGTGATTTGAAAACATTCCGATCGTCGTTTGTTTTCAAGTTATAAACCTAAACTTTCTTATTTCTTATGGCGGCCATCTTCGATTTCAACAAAATAATATTCTGCGAAAAACTCCTTTAAAATTATGTATTACAAGCTATGAAAACGTTTGGCAAGTGCTTCAAAATTACAGTTGAAACCGATATTTTGCTAAATTTGGCAACAATGCTCATAGTTATAAGAATAAAACCAAATAAGTATGATTTAATACCTAGAATCGGTATTTTTGAAGTCTTCTGGTAATTTTACTGGATAAATAAAAAATAAGTAGGCAAGGTATTCCACATGTTTTTTTTTTTTGTAATGTAAACAACATGAATTACAGCTTTTCCTCCTTTCTTCTTTCGGTTTTACGCCTTGTGAAAAATTACACCAATTTGGATATTCCAGATACAATTATTGTTTTTGCGTGAAGGACGAATTTGCACTCTCTCAGATTTTTCAGTCTTTGAGAGTCTATTAGACCTTGTATTATTATTTTAATAAAATATTCTTTAATTCGATTTTTATTTTATCAAGACAATATTATTACGATGGGTCGCTTTTTTGGCTTCTTTCTCTGTGACTTGAACTGATAGGAATTTCATACCTATAATTTTTCCCGAGGCGTAAAACTAGGGTTGCCAGATTGAAATATCTACAAATCGGGTATACTAATCAAAAAGCTGTTAAAAAATCGGGACTTTGAATAAAATCGGGACACTTTTTTTTTAAAGGAATAATTTGATATAATAATTATACTGAACAATAAAATTTCTAATAAAATTTAAAAATAAACTGAAAAATGTTCCACTGTACTGTACAAATTGGGGCTTAAATACTGAGAAAAGGGCTGAAATCTGGATAAAATGGAAAATATGAAACAAATAACCCAAACTAAATTATTTCCAAAATTTTTCACCTTTTATTAGTAAGAATCGAAATGGACAAAAATTCCATTCTTTTACACCAACAGAAAAAGAACCTGTATATCTCCAGACTCTAGACAGTATGATGTCTCACAAAATAGACTAAACTTATGCTTTGTAGATAAATCTTCTAACAGATCCACGACATACCAGTGATTATCACCGTTATAGAGTTCTGAGAAATAAAGTCAAACTCGGGGTTAACAAGTATATAGTTCATACCAAATAAACTTGTTGTTGTGACATCGATGACGCCATTTTTAAAATCGATATCGCCAACCGTGAAAATATTCGGCGTCGGATTGACTTAATTGGAATTTGAATTTCCCGCTGGCCATTCAGTTGGTAACACCATGTCAAAAAATGTAACGTTGCCAAATTAAATTCTTGACATTTTGATTGCATTTTGGCAGTTTACGAGTTTTTGGTTTGTGCTGTTAATTGTGACCTTGTTTTTTGAAATCAGCTTGTAGTGCGAAGTGTACAAGATGCCGAAGCAGCTTAACAGCCGTTGCAAAGAACTAATCGCATCCTTTTTACAATATTTCGAACGAGAACGCGATAATAATGGCCCTTAATGTCCCTTAAATGCTGTTAGGAAGGTGAGTTTATAAGTCGTTGATGTCGTGTGACCAAATACGAATTTTTAATTTGAACTTTCTCTCATTTTTAGCAAGTAGCAGAGTCTTT